CAGGGTCATGAAAGAGGTATTTTAAACACAGACTTCCCAGGGATATTTTGATGGACAGAGTAAGACTTAGTCTTCCAGCTGTTCAAGAAAGAGTAGGAGAGACAAGAGGAGGGTCAGGGTTGCTTGCCTAGAAAAAAAATCTTTCCCCAAACTTGAAACCTCTGGGAAAAATAGTAAAAATCAAAATGGAAAAAGTATTGCCAAAGAGGTTTAGATGCCCTTCAGCACCACCAATGTCACCGGTAAGGCAAACATTTTGGGTTTGGTTTTGTTATTGTGCTCTGGGAGAAGTTGATTTGTAGGAGTAGGGAAACTAGATTTTTAAAACAACCTGAATCTACCAGGACTGAGGTATGGTCAGAAGTTAAAAGTGCAGCAAAGAAGAGTAGATGCAAGGAAGGAAAAAAAAAATGCCTGGAATATGTCAACAGTGAACACAATTCTTGTATGAAAATGATTGTCACAAGTGTCATCAGCTAAAATAAGATAAGAAAATAGGTTTGCCATAGAGGTATCTTTCTGCTCCTTTCAGCAACAAAATTCACCAAAAGTTCATAAAATATTTTCTTTACATCACAAGTCAGTTCTTTGGAAAGCAAAAGTTAAACAGTCCCAGCCCGTGCTTCCACAGGTATGGTACGGTCGCTTTGGAGAGGAGAAACCAAAACAGGAACCCAGGAAAGCGAGTTAAGGCAAAACCAAAAGCCTCCGCACGTCCTTCTGAACCGCGCCAAGGGCCTTCTCCGTGCGGGGCTCCGGGTCCCGCGGCGCTCGGCAGGGCCCCCTTTCCCGGGGGAGCAGCTCCCATGCGGGCACCTACCCGAAGCGGAACTTGAGGCGGTATTTGACGGGCGCCGAGTGCTTGCGCGGCGCCGGGGCTTTTGCTGGCGGCAGCGGCGGCGGCCGCTTCTTCCTCTCGGGAACGGTGACGGTGAAGGCGAGCTCGGGCTGCTCGGCGCGGCGGAAGCGCGGCAGGAAGTGGGTCGAGACGTGCTGGGGCTTCGCGCGGGGGCTGCAGCCGCGCTTGGCCTTGCCCCGCTTGTTGAGGGCCACGTACCACTCGCGGCCCGAGCGCGCGCCGCGGTGCGCCGCCGAGGCGTACGTGTTGTAGCTGTTCTCCTGAAAGCGCTCCCGGAACTTGCAGTCCTCCGTGAACTTGGCCTGGGGAGGCAAACCCAGACAAGGGCAGCTTAGTGAAAAGCTTCGGGGCGCTGCGCCAACCCCCTGGGGCTTTCCCCTGCTACGGGGCGGGCCGCCACTGCTTGCCTGGGGTCAAGGCTCCCAAATCAAATGGCCCAACGGTCTTCAGCAATGAGGGGGGCTCAGAAACTCCCTCCCAGGCCCCTGGATGCCCCACATCTGGAAAAACCTGCCAACTGAGATGTCCTTAAGAGCCCATCATCGGCACCCCTCTCTTGGGCCTCCTCAGAACCATGGACTGCGAGAGCCTCTCCCTCACCGGCCTCAGGATTGGCAGCCTTCACACACGGCTCGTCAGCCCACCTTTCCTACGGAAAGGACTCAGGAAAAGGCCCTTTATCTGCCCGCCAGCAGCTTCGTTGGGAAATATGAGGTCCTACCCTTCGCTCTATCTGAATTCCTAGCCTCGCGTGTCCTGCTTTTGCACTGAATCATCGCTTAATAACCTGGAAAGGCAATTTGCATGCAGATTTTCCCTGCTTCACTGAGCATAGTTTTGATTGTATTGGATTTCTTTTTTCCTTAAATAACTTGGGGTCTCTTATCCCTTGATAACCTTAAGAAATTACTTCCAGCCAGAGGAGGCTTCTTCACATGAACAGGGCAGTTGTCTTAGTTCCTGGGCCAGGACTGCCATGGGGAAAGGCTCTAAGAGAAGGGAATGAAGCATACCCAAACCCAGCATAGGGGCCGTCAACTGCTCTGGATCAACAGACACACTGCTGATGCCTGCACAGGCAGTAGATTATGTCTAGCTCTGTAACATATCAGCTCCGTTCACACGTCACACCCATCAAAATAAGAAGAGGGAACAACTCCAGAGAAACGCCGTGACAGTGCCAAGCTCCCTCGGAAAAACCAAGCTCAGAGGTTGGAGCAGCAGCTAGCGAAGGAGCCAGGCTCGCTGAGATGGTAGGTGACACTAACCTTCTGCTCCACATCCTCCTAGGAAATCAGTGCACACTGAGGGCCCATTTCTGCCCTCACACGCAGGCAGAAATACAGAAATAGAGCCCTAAAACTGCAGCTATCCGTGGCACTGTGACACCTAGCTGCATTCTTCAACAGCTGCTCTGAAATACTCGCCCATTTTTTAAATCTGATAAGGAAAACGTGAGTTGGTGTCACATTATCTTCTAAAATGATATCTGGTGCATCCAAGCCTGATTGCCAAGTAAAGCATTCCAAGTATTACTTTGAAACAGGTGCTGAGATTTTTAGTTTAGAAATCCAAGGCAATGCAAAACCACAAAGAAAAACCCCACAGTTTTACAACCAGTTAGAGTATCCTTTTGGCTTAGTATCATTTCTAACCCCGTCACTTAACTAGAGAGAAGTTGATTCCTACAATTCAAATGACGGTGTCCTTGACTCGCCGTACAATTTTTTTCTCCCGTCACACTCAGAATTAAGTCTCCTTTTGCCCTTTACTTGGGAGCAATGTGAGCCTGACCGTGTGTTTCAGCTTTCCTGGCCTCTCATAACCCAGCGTGACGCTTTGCCCATGCATGACCTATTGAGTCCCCCTCAATATCAACCCTTGTGGCTCTCTGCAGCCCCCAAACCTGCAGCCCCACTCAGACAAGGGGGCACAGGGCAGCCCCCACATCGCCCAGCGTTGCCTCTCAAGGGGGAGGCTTTAGGAATAGCCGACCCTCATCATTAATGTTACTCATCATATGCTGACTTACAAAGTACTTTTCTGGGCTGTAACATATAGCTGGATTTCAAATGAAACCCCGTAGTTACACTTTGGGGGGGGAGCCCTTGGAGGGGATGCAGGGAAGTGCAAAGGACCCCCTGCCTCCCCCCAGCTCCTCACCTGCTCAGCAGTGCCTGGAGCAGAGCTTGGGCCGTACTGACAGCAGCTTGTGCAAGGGCACTGAAGCAGGCCCTCCAGTTCCTGGGGGGATTTGGGTGAATGGCAAGAACAGGCCTTGTTTTGTTTGAGGATGTCAAGCTGCCTCCCCTGCCTTGGGAATCCAGGCCGGCAGAGCCCTCCGCCCCGGTGCCGAAAGGGGCTCAAAGCGGCTTTGCAGGCAGCGGGGTGAATATGAGATGATGCTCCCGGCCTGCTCCGCCACATCCGGGCGCGGACGGGCAGCTCGCAGCTGCTCTGCTCCTCAGGAAGCTGGATGGAGGCTCCCGGCGCGGCCCCGCGTTGCGGGGGGGACGTGGCCGCGTCGGGGGAGGTGGCGGCCAGAAAGCTGACCAAAATATAAACCGGGACAAAACAAAATCAACAACAACAACAACAAAAAAAAAAACACACTCATGACATCTGGGACAGGCTTTGGGGCATCCAAGAGAAAATGAGTGCTGCAGCTGTGCTTTGGGGAACGCTCCCTAGGGGCCAAAACCAACAGGATTCAGGCACTTCTGCCTCAAGAGGTTCTCCTGGGCCAAGCCACCCACAGCACCTGCTGCTGCATTTTCCTGCAGGGCAGCAACGGGGGGAGGCTACCAGAGAAACATGCGGCTCTTCTCACAGCAAAAAGCTCGAGTGGGATGAGAGGCTTTTGTCCCAGAGCTTTCCGGGCTGCGCGCCAGCACACGTGCGGAAGACAGCAAAGCAACACTCCTTTCGGAAGATAACATAGTTTGAGCTCCCTCCCTCAAAAACAGCATGGCAGGAAGGTGTCCCTTGGCTGGAAACGGTCACCTCCAGTGTGTGGCACACAAGCTCCTGCCATGTGCCCCCCACACTGCCTTAGGGACCTGCAAACCTGCCCATGCCCCCAGCACTGCAGCTGTAGGTTGCTGATGCTGGGGCTGGCAAGAAAGACCAAGGAAGGATGCAGCTCCGCACCCTCACAAGACGTTGGCGCCCGCAGGCACTTTCTGGGGCACAGGGCTTCAGCGGAGCATCCACGGGACTTGCCCAAACTCACTGGGGGAAGGCGCAGAACTGCGTCGGTGCCTACGCACCAGCCCAGGGCCACAGCAATGAGAGGATCGTGTTCCTCTGCCACACGTGGTCCACATGTGGGTCCGAGCCCCTCGTCCTGTCACCCGTCTTCACTTGAGACAATGAGTGAGGACGGCGACTCGGACCTGGCATGCTGCAGAAGGAAGGGACTTGGGCCCTTGGCAAATACTCCAGGGCTCTGGGTCTGTGATGTGACCTGAACTAGCATCCATGAACACCCCTCTCAAGGACAGCTAGGTCTTCCTCAAAAAATAACAGCCACTTGGCCAAGAAGGTGTTTTAGCCATGCAGATGTTTAAAGATCCTTGAAGCCAGTGAGCAAAGAGATGACAGGCAGGAAGAAAAACAGATTTTTGACCTGTTGCACTGTCACGAATTTGCAGTCAACTGGTTGATCATCACTTGGACAGTTCCCCCTGCGTGTCCAAGCTTTTCAGTTAAACCCTGGCAACATCTCCGTGGTGCAAGGCCACTTTTCTGGGTGGCCTCACACCCATCCTGGCCACCATGCGCTGCCTTGAGCTCCAGAGCCACTGGGCAGCAAAGACAGAGCCAGACATAAACAGCAATCCTGAAGTCGATTAATTTTTTTAAATTAAATGCAAAGGAGATTTGCCCTAGCTAGGGCCAAGGCATTTGGTCTGCAATTATTAATTCGGCACAGCTCTTAAGAAAGGAAAATTGCCTTAGACCCCTGTAGATAAATACTGCTGCTTTCAGGTTCGCGCTAGCCCCCTCCTGAAATCAATGCCAACCAATTCATGCCCATTTAATGATAATAATGTTCAAACATGCAACGAAGGATTTAAAAATGAGGAAGGAGCCATCTGTGCGTGGAACTGATAATTGCTAGCAATATTATTTCTGAATCCGGCGCCTAAAAATGAACCACTTGATAATTTAATTAAGCCGCCATCAAAAAGAGTGAGGGCCGGCGTGAAGCGCTGAGCTCTGATAAAGCGGAGCCCGGAGAGGTGGCCGCAAAGGATCCCACATAACTGCAGGAATTACTTTTATCTACAGTCCAGCACAAAGTCACTGCAGTGACTTCCATATCAAAGCGCGGCGGTGAGTGACAGGCGCAGGACTCCCTTTGTACTGCTTAAAACTCATTAGGCCATGAAATAACTTTATCCTGCCAGGCCAGGAAAGAACAACAGATGCTGGGTCTGCGTTACCGGCATTATTGAGTCCAGCCATCTTTAGACATTTGGGTCAAGTTTCGACAAATTCGCTGCTTTCAACTGACCAAGGAATTGCATGTCCTAACCCCGGGGTCTGACCCGCCTAATCGAAGCCCATTTATAACGCGGGGCTTTGCTGGGCGACAATTAACCACAGCCTGATGAGGCCCTAATTTAATTAGGGTCTGAGCTGAGGCATAAATCAAGACTTAAACTTCGAATAACGGCTCCGTTGTACGGCACCAAGGAGGAAGGGCTCGGAGGGACATGAGGATTGCGCTCTTGCCGGGCAGCCCCCAAATTTATACACGGACGCTTTGCCCCCACTCCGTCCTTTCCTGCTGTTGAAGCTGTGGCTGAGGGACAACCAGGGCGTTGAACTGAAATGTTTTTTCCCCTCTTTGGAAGACTCTGGCAAAACCCTGTGTCAGGCAGGAGACCCCTCCGCTCCCCGGGGTTTAGCTGAGCAGCCCGCAGACCTGCTGTGCCCAGACCGCTGCGCAAGAAGGACCAACTTGACATCAGCCAACAGCTGAGCAGGCTGGAGCCTGAGCGGCCTCGCCAGCCTCCTAAAACTCCCCCGAGAGCAGATGATGTGCAATGGCACAACAGCCCAATGCAATGCCAACAGCTCCAGCCCTTTCAGCACCTGCCCTGCACCCTGTGCCCTCGGGCACCCCTGCTCTGCAGGAAGCTTGTTCCTCTCTCCGCCTTTCCTTCCCACCCCACCCACCTTTTTGCCTTATCTTACCTGCTCCTCTACTCTCTGCTTTGCCAATTTGCTGTCCCTCCTCCTTCCCTCTTGGCTTTTCTTTGCCTCCTCGCAGCCATTTCTACTTTCTTCTGGACTATGATCCTGCTGCTATTCTGTTTGCTAACATAAGCAAGGATATGCTCACCCTTTAAGCATCATTAGGTTTCAGGAGTAACACTCCACTAAGAGCCAAGGGAGGTAGAAGTGAGTTCATAAATCTCTGTTTCAGGCAATTTGTGGAGTCGGACAGTAGAATTACCGGTAAGAGTCACTTCACAGCAGTGAAGCTAATTTCATAACCACGGGGGTACGAATTTGCTTTTTCTTAGCAAAAAAAAGTCCAGGCTGCTAGCCCTGAATCAACACTCTGGGAACCAATTCGGATGACAGGTCATACAAGAGGCTGACTTAAAAACGTCCTCCTTAGGATGCTGCATTCACACACTTCGAGAGAATGACCTCTAGGTAAGCCCGGCAATTATTTTAATCTATGTTTACATTGTCTCCAAGATTAACAGAAAAAAATAGGAAGCAGTAGCTTCAATTTGAAGGAGGACATGAAATAAACTCCTAGGATTCATCTGACATTAAAAAAAAAAAGGATAAAAAATAAAAAGCTTAATTCATTCTGCTGCAAAACTCCTTATAACGAACCTTAAAACTCCTTAAAACTCCAGATAACGAACGCAGCCTCTTGATGCAAACACCTCACTGCAAAAACACACGTGCACTGCGCAAATGCAATAACTTGGGAGCTTTTGGATCCAGCGGCCCCCTCACTGCTGCGAAGGCCGGAGTCTTTGCCGGACACCTTGGCAGCCTGAAGTGCTTGGGGTCTCCTACATCTCTGGAGCTACTATGGGCATGGGGAGCTGCCGCAACACCTTTAATAAACAAGACATACTGAGAATTGGGGTTTTACTTACACTTGCATGGAGTTTTCCTTTTTTTGACATCGCTAAAAATTTGTTGCTGAAAACTCCTCGTATTCCTACAATCCCCTGAGACACAGCAAATATTTCCAAAATACCTAGGATGACAGAAATCCCAAAATAAATCACAATTCTTTGCACAGCGCGACAAAAAAAGAAAAATAAAAGAAAAATCACCGTGTATGTTTGCATTTGCACTCCAAAAGCTCTGCTTCGTGGCTCCCGGGGTCTGTGTGACAGCTGCAATCAGCGGCCAAGCCGCTGAGGAGCTGGGTTTTCAGAGAGAAATGGGGATGCTGCTGCTGCACTAAGGCACCTGCTGGGGAAACAGCTCCCTTTGGGCTGGCCAGGCCGCCTCAGCTCTCATCTTTCCACCGGCACAGAGCTGCTCCCTGAAATTTAGGTACGGGGCAATGAGAGGGGTGGAATTTAAGCGAAAAATACAGCACCTCGGACCTGCAGCCTCTCTACCGAACCAGGCCTCAGCCTTCCCGCTCCCGTACGTGCGCTCCCGCGGGAGCGATGGTGCCGCGCACCGCTCGGAAGCCAAACGGCGCAGCCGGTTACCTCAGCGCCACCCGGGCAAGCTGCAGGCAGCCGCCCCTCAGCGCCGGGCTGCCCGGCGGCCCCGCTGAGGGAAAACCACCTCTCCCCTCAGGCCAGGCCTTCTCCTCACGCCCCACGAGCTCTTTCCCCATAAGCGGGAAGGCACCATGGGGAAATAAGGGAGACACCAGCACCAGCAGGAGCCCCGGGACGGAGCTGCTCCCTGCCGTCTCTGCCCCATCCCCTGGGGACGGCCACTCGGCCACCCCAGCAGCCTCAGCCCGGGATACCCGTCCCCAGACTTGTGCCCACCACACAGGAGAACTTCCCGCTCAACCCATCGCCCTGGGATGCCCCTGCCACGTGGCAGTGTTTCTCATGGCACGGAGGGTGAGTGTGGGGGCCAGCTGTGCCCCTGAGGGACATGGGCGTCCAGCTGCAGCGGATCAGCCGCGCAGTGTGGCAACCATCAGCTCGGCGTGCCAAGAGGCCTTGGCAGCAGTCCCGGGGGGCCGAGGGAGGATCGGATCACCGCTCCCCATGGGTATTTTAAGGTGGAAGGAAGCTGCCGGAGGCAGGCAGATCGCGTACCCTTCCCGGAAGGGCGCTCTGGCTTCCTCCCCCTTCCCCCTCGGAAGGTCAGGGCTGGCAACGCTTCAGCGCGCGACGTGCCCAAGTGTCCAGACAGGGCTCCCTTGCTCCGCTCTGTGCCGCGGGGAGCGCACCGGGAAGGCAACCAGCTCCATGAGATCAACACCCGGATTATTTCCGGCAGGTCAGATTTTGTCTCCGCTCTCCGAGCACAACTGACAGGCAAAAGGGCCGGTGCTTTGGGGGGTCACGGCAGGACCAGCCCCAGCCTCTCCCGGTCATCTTTGAGCCATTCTCCTTCCCTCTGCGAGGAGACCGCAGCCTCTCCGGCTGCAGCGATAAGCAACCTCCGCTCCTCCCTCCCCAGGGGAATTGCAGCCTGGCTCCTGTTTTTAAAACCAACAGACCCTGATGCTTTGCTCAAGCCATAAGAATGCCAAGGAACAAAGGGAAAAGTTAAATGCAGGTAGGATGGGGGGGAAAGGGAGGCAGAGCCCAGCTCAGCATCCTCCTGCCCCCCTGCTGGCTAAGATGCTCTGGGCGCAGCACAGAGCCCTGCTTTGCACTTCAGTACTAGTCCGCACCCATTTCCTTTAGGAGGGCGGGCGGCCACTGCAGGGCAACCCCTCCAGTGCCGACAGCTCCCTCCTCACAGCCCTACTGGGGACCTTGCCACGAGCGCAGCAAGAGGGACCCTCCTGGGGCGCTTTTGGCCACCGTGCAGCCCTGCAGCCTGGGGGGTGTTGGGCACCTCCAGGCATCGGCCCCCGAGCTGTCCTCGTGCCAACGGCTCCCCCGGGAGGGAAGACCCCGCAGGGCACCTCCCCTGGGGCTGCAGGGCCTACGCTGTTCCCCGAGGCAGCCCGGAGCGGGGCCGCGCCGCGCCAGGGTGGGGGGCACCGATCCGTGGGGGACCCACGAGCGGTGCCAGGGCAGTGCCGAGGGGGCAGAGCCAGAGCTGAGAGGGAGGACCCACGCGGGACGCGCCCCCTCCACCCCAACTCGGGACACGCTGCCCTCGGCCCCACGCGAGGGGAAGGCCCTTACTGAGC